TATACACTCTCAAGCTCCCAAGCTCCATGGAGGCTGATGGTAGTTTCACCACTAGCTCAGAGAAGGACAAGGTTTCTCTCATCATCCTGTAATGGCTAAGAGAACTATTTCACTAATCAGAACACTGTGGTTTGGAAAGAAATCAGAACATTATGGTTTGGAAAGAACAGGAAGAAAGAAGACTCACATAAAAATGAACCTCTTGATTCCCTCAGACCTCTTCACCATTCCTTTAGTAATTACAATAAGCTTTTCTCTAGAAAGGGTCAGCAGGTTAGAGCTACCACATTGCATGAAAAAAAAAAGTGAGGATGTGTTAGCTAATATGATCATACATTAGATCAAAAAACAGAAATAATCATTTTAGAAATACAAAATGAGACTTTGTTTTTATTACAGGCAGTACTGGGTGTCCAAAGAGTTATGTTACAGCTCTTGAATACGAATGTCATTACACACCTAGTGAAGTATTTGAACTCTATTACTGAATGTATCTCGCTCTATAATATGTCTTATGAGAGATTTCTTAAGTCTAACAATTTATATGTACTATTCATTCCAGTAATGCTGAATCGCAAGCACATCAGAAAATAGTTTAACAGGCAGGCACCTTATGTTGTGTTAAAGAAAAAGGTGTCTGCATGTTAATTTATGAAGCTTTCTGGACTTATCTGTTGCACTGGCACAAAGCCTTGCTAACTCCATTCCAAGTTTACTCTTCTGGAATGAGTTTATTCAGCTCTCGGTGCCAAAATGGGCTTTAACTTTAAACCAAATAAGGCATCAGCTCGCCAAACTCGGAGGTGACGTTTGATTCTAGCTATTAAACGGAGCTGAATCCCTGATGCCTGAATGAGCTGAGAAGAAAAACAGTTCCTTCCTTACAGTCAGTACTGCAGTCCTAGTCTTTAGGATTCTCCATTAGCACTGCTACAGACTGTCAAAAGAGCAAGAGAAACCCTTTTCAATACACAGAAAAACCACATCCTATCAGAAATCATTTTTTTGGTTCTTAGAAAAGTAATTAAACAAACATACAAATAATAAAAAGCATTGCAGCTTTTATTTTTTTAAAAAAATAGGAATTCTAATTAAAATGGGAATTGATGTTACGTCAGGCTCTCAGAGTAACCCATAAAGGACAGGAAACCTCTTCCAAAATCACAACACAACCCATGCAAAACAAAGACCTAGCAGAAATTTGATAACGGAGGTAACACTTTCAGCAATCAATGCATTAATCAGAACCATAAGAACATTGCTGGAAGCTCAGTACACATATATCTTAGCTTGCAAATATGTGATAGGCCTAAGTTTTCAAAATAAATGAGTGGCACCTCAATGCCTGAATGCAAATTCAGCATTTTACTCATCTAGACACTGTAAAGCACCTGTTATTTTATATATGCCTCTAACTCTTCCGTGGCCTTTTTTTCAAAATTAGATAGAAACCAGGAGAATCCATGCTCGAATTTCAGATAATACAGAAGTTCAGATGAAAATATGTACACTGGTGGAACAAGCTGTTTAAAATAGGAGATTTCAATAGACATATACAACAGATTAAATACACATACAACAGATTTTTGAAACAAACAATTTCAGTAGAACATTTATTTTCCACTTATTTGCTAGTTAATTTATGTCAGATTATTAACAAAGGCTTTAAAAGGCCTCCACTTGCTAAGCAGGAAATCTCCTGGAGAAAAGGAGGGAAAGGAGGGGGAAAAAAAAGTCTCAAAGGAGGGAACAGTTGAGCCAAATTGTTTCAAAACAAGGGGAGGGAAGCTGAGAGGAGGGGAGAGAAAGCAGCAGAGTTGTGGGAATGACCTTCCCCACCATATGTGCTGTGTTTACATGCCTGAGAGAGGGGTACAAAACCCAGAGGAGGACAGACCCCCTCTCCTCCTCTCTCAGTCGGGGCAGGAGAAAAATACCAGAAGTGCTTGTCATACCGGCTAGGAAAGAGAAAGAGAAGATTTCTCCTTTGCCAGGAAAAATTCAGGGCACTGCTAACTTATCAGACATGCACTAACCAAAAGCTGATACGAAATGTTCAACTGGATCCAAGTTATTAACCACTGCTGCTCCCTGACCTTGCAAGTAGGAATAACTCAGATCTGTATATGAATAGTCCTATCCTATTGCTTTGGGAAAGCATTTTAAGCAAATTTTAATAAAAGGAAACTTCCTCTATACTCACATACTCTGAAATAGAGAACAGGCCATGTAGTAGGGAATATTCTGGCCTTTCACCTCTCAAGAGCGAGTTTAAGAACATGCTGTTCCACATGTGCAAATGATTGTATCCTAGGTTGTTAGTGCCTAAATTTCACAAACGGAGACTCAGTTCAGTACAGTAATAAGTAAATTTTAATAAAAGGAAACTTCCTCTATACTCACATACTCTGAAATAGAGAACAGGCCATGTAGTAGGGAATATTCTGGCCTTTCACCTCTCAAGAGCCAGTTTAAGAACATGCTGTTCCACATGTGCAAATGATTGTATCCTAGGTTGTTAGTGCCTAAATTTCACAAACGGAGACTCAGTTCAGTACAGTTTATCATGAAAGAGACTAAGCTCCAAATTAGGACAGGAGGTTTATCATATTTTTGGCTTAAAGTACATATACTCTGAAAAGAGCTTTTTTTTTTTTTTTTTCCTGCCTCTGCCAGGGTTTTTTCATGTTTATATTCTGCAGCCATAACATATGAGATTAAAAAAAAATAGCAAATGTGTACTGAGTTAATCTCTATTTATAAGTAAATCTGTTGATTTGTAAGGAGACAACATTTTCTTCCATTGAGGCAGGGAAGCACTAGGAAAGAAAAAGGAACCTCTCACCCCAAATATTCTGACAGGAATGCAAAAGCAAGCATGTCAATAACCTGGTGGTAAAGGATACCCCCGTGTCATGGGCACAGCAACTTGCTTCCAAAGCTAGCAAGGTAGCATGGTGTGCAATGATGCCACTCAGCATTTCCAGTAAAACCTGTCTCACACTCATACTCCAATAGGCAAGATTTCTTAAAATTATACACAGTAAAAGTAAGTAGCCCTTCCTTCACTGACAGGAAAGCACCTCTACTGAAGTGGATAACAGGCTCTCTAGTTTCAATCTGGTTCAGTTGATCATCTTCGTCTTACACTAAAAGAAATCTTACACTAAAAGAAATGAAATGCTTTAGGGAGATTAAAAAACAACAACAAAAATGTAAACTTTCTTAAAAGTAGTCACCAAAAAGAAGCTAGGAGACAGCCTTAAGTAGCAAATATTACTGCCTCCTAACCTGCATTTTTTTTGAGAGTTACCAAAGAATAAATAGACTTAACACTCAACTAGTGCTTTAGGTGTCCTTGCTTGAACAAGGGGGTTGAAATAGATGATCTCTAGAGGTCTCAACCATTCTGTGATTCTATGATCTAGCAAATACTGTCTTGAATAACAGCACCTTGACGAGAAGGTTATCCTTCCTATAAAAAAGGCAGGATTAATTTTGGAGTCTTCTATAACAGAACTCAATAATATAAGCCAGGAGCTTCCACTGAAATTAAGAGCAACTACCAACTTGGAGAAGGGTTGAGCCTGCCCAGTCTCTAAGCATATCTTTTAATATTGCCAGTGACAAAAAAAGCAAATTAAACTTTTTTTTTTTTAAAACCACTTAACAGCCATCACAAACTGACTAGATAGCCACCCTTCCTTTACTTGACCAGCATTCAAAGTGCTTAGCAGGATTTGAAAAGAAGAATTTGGAAGAAGCTTCTCAAGTGAGCAAGTTGTTGCACAAGTACAGAATGTATTGATAATGGAAACTGTCAACATTTGATCACAGGCTTGACTCGATACAGCAATTCCTACATAAGTCATGGAGTGAGCAAAAGCAGATAAATCTTCTTTCTTAAGGAACAGAGAAGTCTTCTCACAATGGTAGGAAAAAAAATATATATATATATACACATGCGGATTGTTACTATGCCAAAATACGTATACTCATTTGTTTTTATTCAGCTGTTCTGTCCACGCTCTGACTTGCTATGACTCACTTGGGGAGAAGGGAGAAGGAAAAAAAAAAAAAAAAAAAAACACCTTTGCGTGACCAGAAGCATAGACGTTGTCACGAACAGGCCCAACTCTGGGCAAACACATCAATTCGTTAATATAAAGAGAAATCTGTAATAGCATGATAAGATAAAAAATATATCCCTCTCTTTTGGAGCAAAATAAAGTCAAAATCAAGCAGAACAAGCTGACACAAGGAAGCCAAAAGGATCGCAGAGTATAGTAACACCAACAACCAAGAGAAGGCAAACACAATTACACTAGAGAAAGCTGAGATTACTACGCTAGGAAGAGATGCCATCAATTAATATTTCATTTCTTTGCCCAGTACAAGATGCGCGTGTGACATCTGTGAAAATGTTTCAGGCCACTAATTACTTCATAGCACTCAAGTGGCTGTTGCTTAAAAACTCAGTTGAAGGGCTAGAATGGCTGTAAGAAATTACTTGCTACGTAATAAAGCAAAACAATACTTTAAGAAGGAAATATCACCATCGACGTTTCTGTTTAGGCAAAAGAGATAAGGGAACATAGTCAGAGCAGTGTGTTGCTGAGTTAAAACAAGCGCCGGCAATGGAAGCAGCTGTCACAAACGGGTAACAGCACTGCTTTAAGAAACCAGAAGGACGTTGCAACCCGATGCGTACTGAGAGTAGGGGCCGCTGAAGCAGCAGATAAAGCTGATGTATTTGTTGTAAACTTTCCAGCATTCAGACTTTATTTGTCCGAGCCTGATACTCCCCCGTGTGGGTGGGGAAGCCGAGGGACTGGGCGACGTCACAGGCGGAGAGGGATAAAGCGCCGCGCGCGCGGCCGTGCCGCGAGTGACGCCTTGCCAGCGGCCAGCTGCCCTGTCCAGCAGGCAGCCTGCTGACAGCCCCCTCGCCCACAGCCCCGCTCCGCGCGCGCGAGCAAGGGCCGCGGCGGCCAGCACAGAGCCCTGCACCATGCCCCAGAACGTTATTCTCCCTGGACCCGCGCCCTGGGGTTTCAGGCTCTCGGGAGGAATAGATTTTAACCAGCCCTTAATCATCACCAGGGTATGTATCCATTCTATTTTCTATTACACTTATTAATTCATGGTTTTGCCCTTTACTTTTGAGTTCAATGATGCAGATGAAGACTTAATAAGCAAGGAGTTGCCACTTCTGAGAAGTTAACGTAAAGCTAGTAGGTTCTAATAAGCAACGTATTTATGAGATTACTTTATTGCTTAAAGAGTTTAAACTGCATTTCTATTTATGCCTCAAAAATAAAATTCCAGTGCCTCAGTACTAGGAAAACTGTGGTGATGTTGTAGCATTTCCCCATGCATTCAGATGAGAAAATAAGCTTTAAGCTTTTCAAAAGCCAGACCTCACTTCCATCTTCTCTATCAGTAGCCAGGGTGACCACTAGGAGAAAAGACCTCACTGCAGCTGCTCCTCCTGTTGGGAGGTTTGTGCTTCAGGAACTCTTTGTGCCAACATCAGAAGATTAATGTGACACCCACTTAACTATATCAAGAGCTGCAAATTGCCAGCAAAAGCAATTGATCTATGTCGTCGATCTATGCCTACAGACATAGTTCTAGGTAAACAAGGGAATACATATTTTTATAATTTGTGTATTTTAAAAATTGTGTTTAATCTTGACAGACACTAGAATTAAGTTTCCTTATATTTTTGCTGCTTTTAAGTACACCAGGCATACTGACACAGGGTTTATGATCTCTCCCTGCCCTCAAAAAAAAAAAAAGGCACTGCACTATGACTCCATATATACGCTATGTCTGGTATTAAATAAACGCCAAGAGGCTTGAAGGATGGATACCACGGGTGCTGCCTTGCAGCAAGTATGCTTCTGAACAGGAGTCTGTGGCTGGTTAAACACCAGCATTTCACACAATATAGAGATACAAATTAATTTCAATCAATTATTTACTCCAGATTCATTTAAGCCTAACAGAACTTACTTGTAATGTAAAAAAAAAAAAAAAAAAAAAAGGGAGAGAGAATAATACTATTTGGCTTTATGTAACTTCATAACAAATATTAGTAGGACATAACAAAACCTTTGGAGAAACAGAAGAAAAAAATCCCTCTGGATGTTTTGGGGCCTTCATTGCCTTTTATGGGCCTCCAAAGGAAAAGTACTTTCCATTATCTCTCAGGAAAAATATTTTAGCAGTGTCTGGTTTGTATTTTCTCTGTGTTTAGATTAAGTCCCATGAAGTTTAAAACTGTACTAACAAAGGATGTTACTATAAATGTAACTTTCTAAAGAATAAGCAATTTTACAATTGACTTATACCTACCAAATGCCTCACAGGGCATAAACAGCTGGCTTCTAATAGATTATAGCACTGCCTAATAAATAAATCACATTTCATGTAAAATTATGAAATTATAAAACATTTATATGAAAAGGAGCAGGTTTAAGTTTCCTTAGTTCAAACGCAGGAATGTAATAGAATCGTTGTTTAACATCAACATTTTTGTTGCTGCACTACACACTCATAAGAAGCCCTAGTAAGCATTCATGCAGGGGCTCCCAAGAAGTGGTGCAAGATTCAAACACTCCGCTTTTTGGGGCCTAGACTCTCCTTTTGACAAAGGCATCATCTGCAGTGCATCCACATTTGACTTGTTGTCATGACAGAAATTATTTTTAGCATTAGAACCATAATATAGAAGCTGTTTTTGAACAGCTTTTGAATAAAACACTGGGACAGATGCAAGTTTGGTTATCTCTATCTCTTGTTCAACAACCAAAAGCCTTTACTAGGAGTTGTCTGAGAAATAGACAGTACAACAAGGGATCATCATACACCTGTCTCAAAAAGGGATGTCTTCTCAAAAAAACAAAAACGGGGAAAAAAAAAAAAAGAAGTTGTAACTTTCTAAGCAAAGCAGTAATCTTGACCATCTTCAACTGGAGATCAGCGGTGCCGAGTCTAGTTGGAGGCCTGTAGCTAGCAGGGTCCCCCAGGGGTCAGTCCTTGGTCCAGTCCTGTTCAATTTATTCATCAATGACCTGGATGAAGGCACAGAGTGCTCCCTCAGCAAGTTTGCTGATGATACCAAACTGGGAGGAGTAGCTGATACCCCAGAGGG